CCAGCCAGCGTCTCAACGAGGCTGAGCCTTGTAACTGTTCGACATGAGAGCGTGCAGGACCGCCGGCCTTGGCGCCGGGCAGGGTCATTGAGGCATCTGCCTCGCGACCAGCAAATGCATTCAAACAGGTGCATCGCCCACAGGAAACGAATGTAACAACCACGTGATGTGAGTGTACAGGACCGCCGGCCTTGCCGCCGGGCTGGGTCCTTGAGGCGATTGCCTCGCGACGAAGGTCAACACGCAGAACATGCGGATGCACGATCGCCGGCGCTGTCGCCTCTGCTTCAGGCACCCGACGCGAGTGCCCGTGCCTGTCCAGGGCGTCCGAGCCCAGCATTCCCTTACCTCCCCGGGGGGAGGCCGTGTCCGCCCTGAGCGTGAGGGCAAGAGGTCCTGGGCCACTATCGCCCCGTTATTCCTCGGGTAATGGGCTTGCCCCGTATCGAGTAGCGTCGGCACGGGGATGAGGATGATTCTGATGATAACGATGCTGGTGATGATGATGATTATGATGAGGATTTCGGCGACGACGAGAATGATGCTGATGCTGGTGACGATGATGATGATGATGATGGTGGTGGTGGTGGTGGTGGTGATGATGATGCTGCTGCTGCTGATGATGATGATGGTTATGATGATGAGGAGGATGATGACGAGGAGGAGGAGGAGGAGGAACAGGAGGAGGAAGAAGAGGAGGGGGAGTAGGGGGAGGAGGAGGAGGAGGAGGAACAGGAGGAGGAAGAAGAGAGGATGAGGAGGAGGAGGGAAAGGAGGAGAAGGAGCTGAGGATTAGGAGGAGGAGGAGGAAGAGGAGGAGGAGGAGGAGGAGGAGGAGGAGGAGGAGGAGGAGGAGGAGGAGGAAGAGGAGGAGGAGGAGGAGGAGGAGGACCAGTGTATACCCAAGAGTCATCAACGATGTTGGAATTAACCCTCCCGCCGATCTCCTCCTTCATAGGCCCCATACAACCGTTCATTTCCATTGAGGGAACTGCTTCGTCGGAAGACAACCGTTTGAACACTTTGAAGCATCCCAAAACATTGTTGTCGGGATTTCCACGCCACGGATCAACCTGACTGCTGCGTCCTGACGATCTGAATTCGCGGCCGAACGCCATCTATGGGATTTCAACACCGCGAACCAATATCCCCATCTTGGGGGGTAAATCGGCCAGTGGGGCCCAGGCCACGCCGCTGGGAATGGGGATCGGTCAAACGATGCTCAATACAGGTCTCGGAAAAGCAAAGCGAACTCTCAACATCCATCTGTCAACGCCTCCCCCTCCCCCCCCGTTCAAAGTTGGCGATGGGTCTGATGAGTTGCACCTCGACCGCAGTCTCCCCCGCGCGTGCCAACTTTGAGTTTGGGTGGGAGGGGGAGTGTCCAGTAATTGTTCCCCTCTACCGTACGTCCTTTTTCCCAACCATCCTATGGTGTTGGGTCCTCGTTTTGAAGAGACGGTCCCCGCGTTCCCTCCTTCCCTCCCTCCCTCCCTCCTTCCTTCCTTCCTTCCTTCCTTCCTTCCTTCCTTCCTTCCTCTCCTTCCTCCTCCCCCTCCTCCCTCCTCCCATCCCTGCCTCTGCCCTCCGCATGTCCTCGTCGTCGTCATCATCATCATCATCATCATCATCATCATCATCATCATCATCATCACCATCATCATCATCATCATCATCATCATCATCATCATCATCATCATCATCATCATCGTCATCGTCATCATCATCATCATCATCATCATCATCATCATCATCATCATCATCATCATCATCATCATCGCCATAGGACGCTCCACCGAATGCCCCAGTTGTGTCCACATGCGTTTCCCCCACCCAGCACAGCGTTTCGTGGCCCCGTAGGGAGCTCCACCGAATGCCTCAGTGGCGGCGTCCACATGCGTGTCCCCCACCCAGCACAGCGTTTCGTGGCCCCATAGGGAGCTCCACCGAATGCTCCAGTGGCGGTGTCCACATGCGTCTCCCCCACGCAGCACAGCGCTTCGTGGCTTCATAGGGAGCTCCGCCGAAGGCCTCCGTGGCGGTGTCCACATGCGTCACCCCCACCCAGCACAGCGTTTCGTGGCCCCACAGGCAGCTCCGCCGAATGCCCCAGTGGCGGTGGAATGCGTCTCCCCCACCCAGCACAGCGTTTCGCGGCCCCATAGGGAGCTCCACCGAATGCCCCAGTTGCGGTGTCCACATGCGTCTCCCCCACCCAGCACAGCGTTTCGTGGCCCCGTAGGGAGCTCCACCGAATGCCCCAGTTGCGGTGTCCACATGCGTTTCCCCCACCCACCACAGCGTTTCGTGGCCCCATAGGGAGCTCCACCGAATGCTCCAGTGGCGGTGTCCACATGCGTCTCCCCCACGCAGCACAACGTCTCGTGGCCCCATAGGGAACTCCGCCGAATGCCTCAGTGGCGGCGTCCACATGCGTGTCCCCCACCCAGCACAGCGTTTCGTGGCCCCATAGGGAGCCCCACCGAATGCTCCAGTGGCGGTGTCCACATGCGTCTCCCCCACGCAGCACAGCGTTTCGTGGCCTCATAGGGAGCTCCGCCGAAGGCCTCCGTGGCGGTGTCCACATGCGTCTCCCCCACCCAGCACAGAGTTTCGTGGCCCCATAGGGAGCTCCACCGAAAGCTTCAGTGGCGGTGTCCACATGCGTTCCCCCCTATCCAGCACAGCGTTTCGTGGCCCCATAGGGAGCTCCACCGAATGCTCCAGTGGCAGTGTCCACATGCGTCTCCCCCACCCAGCGCAGCTCCACGGAATGCCCCAGTGGCGGTGTCCACATGCGTTTCTTTCACCCAGCGCAGCGTTTCGCGAGCCCACAGGGAGCTCCACCTACGGCCTCAGTGGTGGTGTCCACATGCGTCTCCCCCGCCCAGCACAGCGTCCCGTGGCCCCATTGGGAGCTCCACCGAATGCCCCAGTGGCGGTGTCCACATGCGTCTCCCCCACCCAGCACAGCGTTTCGTGGCCCCATAGGGAGCTCCACCGAATGCCCCAGTGGCGGTGTCCACATGCGCCTCCCCCACCCCGTACAGTTTCGTGGCCCCATAGGGAGCTCCACCGAATGCCCCAGTGGCGGAGCCCACATGCGCCTCTCCCACCCAGCACAGCGTTGCCGCAGCGGCGGTGTCCACATGCGTTTCCCCCACCCTGCGCAGCGTTTCGAGGCCCCTTCGGGAGCTCCACAGAAGGCCCCAGTGGAACGGTTCACGTGTGTTTTCCCTGCCCAGTGCAGCGCTTCGTGGCCCCATAGGGTGCTCCACCGAAGGCCCCAGTGAGTTTCCCCCATCCAGCACAGCGTTTCGAGGCCTCCTCGGGAGCTCCACCGGAGACGATGCCCACAACTGCGGTATTCACAACTGCATATGGATGGGTCCTTCGCTAGGCTATTTTATTTTTTTTCTTTCCTGTTTTCTTTCGCAGGGTCGACTACCAGAGGTCTGGGCCCCTTCCCGAGGAACGGTTTTTCATTCTGCGCCGTTTTTTGACGGTCCCGAGGCCCCGAGGACCTGATTATTCCAAAGCGGCGGATTTTCAGCGAATCTCGGTCTCCCGGGCCCGTTCTCGGGCCCGGGGGCCATCTCGCATGGATTTGGGACGAGGAACCACGTCCGGGGAGGGGGTCGGGATCTCTGGGGCCGCGGATTCAAGACATCACGTCGGCGGATGTCTGAGGCCCCGGGTGAGGGCCCCCTGGGGGCCGAAGGTGGCGAGAAGCACCCCCGTCGTGATCTTTTTGTGCGCGGCGCGCGGGGGTCTGGGCCCTCGAGCGATGGTGGAGCAGGGGGGGTCCCCTCTGCGAGGCCTCGCGGAAGCCTCTCTCGGGGGAGATTCTTGGAGGGTGTCTCCGGGCGGCGTGCGGCGGGCCTCTCGGGGGCCTCTCCCGGGGCTCCTCGGGGAGGAGGGGGGGGGCTGCCGTCGGCCTCGGGGGGTCGTCTTGGGGCGGAGGGCGCGAAGTGTCAGCTCGAGCTCCGCTTCCTGGGGGGCCTCCCTTTTGGGCCGCCTTGGCGCCCTCTTGGGCCAGCTGGGGGGCCTCTTGGTGGCCTCCGGGGCCGTCCCGCGGCGATCTTTGGGGCCTGGTCGTCCTGGAGCGTCGGGATCCCCAACAGGGCGCCAACGGGAAGTCAATGATTTTGGCCTCTTAGAGCTTTCTTAAGCTTTGGATATGTGCTCGGGCGACTCGGGGCCCTCTTGGACCGTCTCGGGGGCCTCTCGGGGCACTCTCGGCCCGTCTGGGGGCCTTCCTGCCCCTGAAAGCCCTGGGAGCGCGTTGGAACGCCAAGGAGCGCCCCGTGGGGGAGGATCCGAGGCGGGGATCTATACTTGTAGTCCAGGGGGGGTACCTGTAGTCCTGGGGAGGGGTACCTGTAGGCCGCGGGTGGGGCCTCGCTGGGGTACCTGTTGTCCGGGAGGGGGGCGCGCATGTTGTTCGTCAAAGCATGCGAACTCAGGGGCCCAGGGGGTCCTGTAGCTTCGGGGGGGATCTGTAGCGCCTGACGGGGGTACCTGTAGTCCAGGCATGGGTACCTGTAGTCTGGGGGGGGGGGTATCTGTAGTCCGGGGGCGGTATCTGTAGTCCGGGGGGGGGGGTACCCGTAGTCCGGGGGGGGGGGCGGTACCTGTAGTCCGAGGGGGGGTACCTGTAGTCCGGGGAAGGGGTACCTGTAGTCCGGGGGGTACCAGTAGGCCGGGGACCTAGAACTATTGAGGGGCACATGTAACCGCCGCCTGGAGGATCGATTTTCGGAGACCTCGCGAGGGGCGGTGGGTACGGATGTCTTCGGGGCCCCATGGGGCCCAGCTGCACGCGCATCCACCGCCCGCTGGGGTCCCACGGGACGTCGGTTCCCCGGGCGGCTCACGTGCATCTTTCCCGTCCTCGCACGGAGGAGGCGAGGGAGCCGAGGAGGGGAGGGGGAGGCCACAGCGATGGCGACCCGCGCCGCCCCCCCCCCCCCGCGACCGCGGCCGCGCGGCCCCCCGAGGCGCCCGCCCTCCCCGCCGGAGGGCCTCTACATCGACGACTGCCCCCCGGCCTGGGCCGCCCCCGGGCTCGGCGGCGAAGGCCCGGCGCCCGCCGCCATGGGCCGGGGGGTGGGGGGTCGGGAGCCCTGAGGCGGGGGCCCATGCGCACGGGGGTCAGCCAGAGCGCCCGATCTTGCAGGCTCCTGCGGGGCCAGGGCCGCACCGCGGCCCCGGCTTTTCTTGGGGGGGCGCAGGGTCCCGCAGGACATCCTGCGGGGCATCCTTCGCACTGGGCGCGGGCTTGGGTGCAGGATCTTGCCCAGACATGCGACGCCCTGTTTTTTTCAATGCGGGGTCCCTGGAAGTCCCGACCCTTTCCCCGCGTCCGCTTTTTCATCCCGAGTCGTTTCTTGACGCTCCCGAGGCCCGGCGAGGGCCCCCCGAGGCCGAAGATGGCCAAAAACCTCGCTCTGCACGTGCGGCGTGCCAGAAAGGGCCTCTTGCCTTCGAGGGTCGAGGGAGCTGCCATCTCTTCCTCGGCGGAAGGGCGGCGGGAGGGCGGCGGAAGGTCGGCGGAAGGCAAACTCGGAGGTTGATGGACCTCCTACCCTGACACGTCGATTAGCGAATTTTGCCGTTTTCGGTTCTCGAGAGGGCGTCGCGGCCGTCATTTTTGCGGGTCCAGGCCCGTCGTTTTCGGTCCTAGGCCGTTTTAACTGAAGGGTGGTTTACTAAAGGGAGGTTTGTCCACCGCCGACAAACGAGGCTGCCTCCGCCGGCGGGAGCCGGCAGGAGCTGGCGGAAGGCTGGCGGAAGGCGGCGGAAGTAAAAAGCTGCCCTCCAAGAGATGACAACATTTTTGGGTTCAGAGTTTCCGGAATCCGCCACGTACGAGCGACCCTTCGCAGGAGTGACCTATGGTGCGGGCCCCACTGGGGCCCCGTGATCGCCGAGCGCGATGCGACGGCAGCGTCTTGCGCGCTGAGGTTTGGACCCCCCCCGCGGCCCCCAGGAAGCCGCGCAGCAGATGCCGCTCTTACCCGGGGCCACTCTTGCGTGTAGCCGATCTCCTCTCGGCGCCGTTGCTCTCCCCCTCCAAGGTCCTCGCTTCGCCCCAGCGCCCTCCGTCCGAGCGGAGGAGCATAGGGGAAGAGGAGGAAAGGGGGGATGAGGGGGGATTCCGGCCCGTGGATGCTCGAGGCGCGGCTCTCTTTGTCCAGGATTTGCTTTTGTGATCTTGGACTTTGCAGTGGTTCAGTGGTTCAGGAGAGGAGAGAGAGAGAGAGAGAGAGAGAGGGAGGAAAAGAGAGAGAGAGAGAGAGAGAGAGAGCGAGAGAGAGAGAGGTATCCCAAAGGACGAAGGTTCCTTATTGTCGTTCGCTACATCGTTGTTATACTTCTGTTGTATATCACCTGTCCCTCATGTTTCCTCTTCATTCGTATTCGTCGTTTGCGACCGCGTCCCTGTTGCCATTTTCAGATGTTCTTGCGTGGCCTCCTCCTTGGAGGGCTTTCCGGGAATCCCGCGAGAACTTTTTGGGGCTTCTTGTGATATTTGAGTGCCTATTGGGCTCTATTGGAAGGTTCTTTTTGATCCTTCAGCGCTTCCCTGGGCGCAGTTCTGAACCCCGCCTTAAAATGTATGCTTTGCAAGGTGTGAGAAGTCTAATTGTCCGAAGGCAATCACATAGGCATGGCAAGCTGCAGATGAAGAACGACATATCGTCTTTGGACTGAAGATTCAGACAAGCCACTTGTGTGATAACCAAGTCGAACATCATGCATACGTGAGTCTGTGCATGATAGGGAGGCAACACCATCCGTGTGATCGGAAATCCAGGCACAGCCCCATGTGAAGAATTTGACCAATCGCATGTGTAGGGGTCCAACTAATAAGTCCGAATCCGACGAGCCTTTGTGTTTCCAGCTTCTGGAGCAGTCGTGAGCACAGTAGGGGTGGCACGGACGGAGTGGGATACGAATCCCTGTTATTGGGCGCTTCTGGGTTTTCTTAGCGGCCCTTCTGGACGTCGTGGGGCCCTTTTGGATCGGTTTGGGGCCCTTGTGGACTGTCTCGTGGGGCTTTGGCCGTCGTGGGGCTCTGCTGAGAGCTTCTTGGGGCCGTCTTGGGGCTTTCTGGGGAGCCTCTTGGGGCCGTCTTGGGCCGTTTCGGGGCTCTCTTGGGCCGTCTTGGGGCTATCTTGGGCCGTCGTGTGGCTCTCTGGGGCTGTCTTGGGGCCCTCTTGGAGCTTTGTGGGGGCCTCTGGATCCGTTTTAGGGCGATTTTTGGGGCCTCTTGGATCGTTTTGGAGCCTTGGCGAACCAAACAGCGAGCATGGCTAAACATGTAAGTTTTATTGAAGGAATGGCGCGATTTGGGCTTGTTTGGCGTTCTCTTGGGGCTCTTCGGGGCGTCTCGGGGGGGCCTCTTGGACCGTCTTGAAGCTTTTTTTTTTTTTTTTTTTTTTTTTTTTTTTTTTTTTTTTTTTTTTTTTTTTTTTTTTTTTTTTTTTTTTTTTGCGTTTTTGGAAGTCTCTTGAACAGTCGTGGAGCCATCTGAGGCCGTCTTGGAGCGCTCTTGCGCCGTCTTGAAACTGTATTGGACCTCTTTGGGCCGTATTGGGCGCTCAGGGTGGTCGAGGTTCGTTCAGTGGGGGGGGTGCGCGGGGTCCCTGGCCTTGTAAACATACACAATCGGGAATATACCTGCTTCTCCCGCTGCTCGTACTCCGGCTCTTGCTGCTACCGTTCCTCCTCGTCCTCCTCATTCCTAATCCTCCACTCATCCTCATCCTCGTCCTCCTCGTCCTCGTCCTCCTCCTCCTCCTCCTTCCTACTCCTCCTCGTCCTTATCCTTTCTCCTCATCCTGTTCCTTCTGCTCATCCTGTTCTCGTATCCGACACCTCCCCGTCCAGCTTACACAGCTTCCTGCTCCCGATTGCGCAAAGCACGATATGGGGTCCTTGAGGGGTTCATGTCCCCTACGGCTCCCGGGGGCGGACAGAGAAGGCATCAACACAGTCAGGAGGAGCGGGAGGGGTAGGATGTCAGGTAGCCCTTCTGTCCCTCCTGCTTCCCCACCTTGCTCCCTCTCTTCCTCCGCACCTGCTCTTTCCTCCTTGTCCTGCTGCTCTTCCGCCCTCCGTCCTCCTCTCCTTCCCTGCTTCCCTCCTCTTTTTTCCCCCCCCTGCCCCTGGTACTTCTTTCCGTTCCTTTCTCCTCTGCTCCTGCTCACCTTCCCTTCCATCTTCCAATCCGTCCTTCTTCTCCTGCCCCTGCCCCTCCCCTCCGTCATCCTGCTTCTTCCCCCCTTCCCTTGTCATTCCCTCTTCCCTCCCCCTCCTCCCGCGCCCTCCTCGTCGTCCCCTTGTTCCCGCCTCCTCTACTTTTGCTCCTCTCCTCGCTTCATTTCCTTACCCCTTTCTTCGCCTCCCCCCTGGTCCCCTTCCTTCCCTCCACCCATCCCGCCCCACTCGTTGCCACCCGCTTGCTCGTGCAGTTTCCTCACTCCCCTCCCCCTCCTCCTCCTCCTCCTCCTCCTCCTCCTCCTCCTCCTCCTCCTCCCTCCTCCTCCCTCCTCTTCTCCTCCTCCTTCTCCTCCTTCTCCTCCTCTTCTCCCCCCCCTCGTCCTCCTCCTCCTCCTCCTCCAGACTCGGTCGGGCGGGGTCCCAGAATCTTAGCAGGATTTCAAAGGCGCTCCTCCCTGGATCGTGCCTTTGGGGACGGGAGCGTCAGGAGAGGAGGGCGAGAGGGAGCGGGCTAAGATGGGAGAGCGCCGCGGCCGCGGCGCGCCGCGGGGCGTTCAACGCCGACGTCGTGGCGTCCGCCGTCAGGCGCCGCCCCGCCTCCGCCCCTCCGCCCTTCCCTGCTCCTGTCCCGTCTTGAATCACTTCACTTGGTCATCATGACTGGTTCCTATATATATACCCCCTCCCCCTCCTCTTCCTCCTCCTCCTCCTCCTCCTCCTCCTCCTCCTCCCTCCCTCCTCCCTCCCCTTCCTCCTCCTCTTCCTTTTTCCCCTCCTCCCCCTCCTCTCCTCCTCCTCCTCCTCCTCCTTCCTCCTCCTCCCTCCTCCTCCCTCTCCCTTCCTCCTCCTCCTTTTTCCCCTCCTCCTCCTCCTCCTCCTCCTCCTCCTCCTCCTCCTTCACCCTCTCCTCCTTCGTCTCCCCCTTCTCCTTCCTCTCCGTGGACGACGACGACCGCGACGCGGACGAGGACAAGGACGAGGACGAGGACGACAACGACGACGCCGACGCCGATGCCGATGCCGACGCGGGCGCCGCGCCCGAGGCCACTCCGAGGGCCCTGGTGGCAGCCTCCGCGGCAGCCCCTCGCCTCCGCGGGCCCGGGGCCAGCGGCTGAGCAGCCGCACCGGCGCCTCACCCACGAGGCGGCAGGCCCGCCGCGCCCCGTCCGCGCCCCGTCCTCCATCGTCCTCCTTCGTCATTCGTCCTTCTCCTTCGCCGTCCTCCTCCCTCCTCCTCCTCCTCCTCTCTCCTCCTCCTCCCTCCTCCTCCTCCTCCTCCTCCTCCTCTTTCTCCTCCTCCTCCTCCTCCTCTCCTCCTCCTTTCTCCCCCGTCGTCCTCCCCCGTCCGGCCCCCTTTTCCCACCGTCCTCCCCCCCCCTCCCTCCCTCCCTCCCTCCTCCTCTCCTCCTCTTCCCTCCTCCTCCTCCTCCTCCTCCTCCTCCTCCTCTTCCGCCGTCCTCCTCCCCCGTCCTCCTCCCCCGTCCTCCCCCCTTTTCCCTCCGTCCTCCCTCCTGCTCCGCCTCTTCCTCCTCCGTCCTCCTCCGTCGTCCTTTTTCTTCTTCCTGCTCCCTCGTCCTTCGTCCTCCTCCGTCTTCCTTCGTCCTCCTCCCTCCTCATGATGTGTGAGGCGTGGGAGTCATTTCAAGCATGAGTTGTTGTCTTCCCCGGCTATTCGCGTGTGGCCGCACATAGGCGCTTATAGGCGCTAGTAGGCACTCATAGGCGCCAATCGACGCTAATAGTCTCTAGTAGGCGCTGATCGGCAATACTAGACATTGATAGACACTTATCGGCGCTGATCGGGCGGAGCCTGTCTTTAAATCACTCTCGCACATCATGCACCTCCTTCTCCGTCCTCCGTCCTCCGTCCTCCTCCTCCTCCTCCTCCTCCTCCTCGTGCTCGTCCGTCCTCCGTCCTCCTCCTCCTCCGTCCTCCTTCCTCCTCCTCCTCCTCCTCCCTCCTCCTCCTCCTCCTCCTCCTCCTCCTCCTTAGCCCTTCTGCGCCAAGTTGCGTTGCAGGGACGGTCTTCAGAAGGGCACGCGTTCCTGCGAGCCAAGCGATTTGACAAGATACCTTCTTTCGCCCAGTGCGTCTTCCCGCCATGGCGCCGCCAGGGTCCGCCCAGCGTTCTGCCCCTCCGCGGGCTGCCAGCTGGCCATGGCGTACGGCGCGATCTCTCGAGAACGATTGGGGACACTGGGACTTTTCGCCAGGATCCACTTGGACGTGCAGTTCGTGTGGATGCAAGAAGAATAAACAAGGATGGCAGCAGTGCAAGAACTGCTGGGCCTGGCGTGCGACCCCGAGGATGGACCAGCCATGGCCGCAGCCGCAAGGGGTGTGGGGAGCCGCTGCTGGAGGTCCCGCGCCTCCTGGTTCGTGGGCACCCGCTGGGAGTCTTTATGCTGATGGCCTTCCTCGTCGCCCTGGCCCTGGTGGGGGGGGCACCCCGCCTGCGGGGACCCAGCTCTCCGACATCGACCAGCTGCGTGGGCTCGTCGACGGGTTGCGTCGTATGGGCGACCCCGAGTCCGCTGAGAAGTGGCAGAAGGAGCTCGACATTCGTATTCAGCGCCAGAACGACGAGGCCAAGACCATGGTCCTTCTGGAGCACCAGGTCAACCGTGCCTTCAACGAGATGCGTGCGCTGGAGGCCAAGCTCGGGAAGAGCCTCACCACGTTCGAGCGTTTCGAGGGCGAGCTGGACCAGCAACGTGACCGTGTTCGAACCCTCAGGTCCGAGTTGCAGGTGGCCGGAGAGAAGCACAAGTCGCTCGTCAGCCAGTTGCAGTCATCCGCGGGGTGCGGACAGGAACCCAAGCCTGCTCCACAGCTCAGTATTGACGACCTCCTCAGCGGGAAGACTCTGCCCATCTGCTTGGACAGCCTACTCGCGTCCAGGCTGCGGTGCAACAACTTTTCGGTGATGCTGCTGCGAAGTCAAAGGCGTTCACGGAAGCTCAGGCAGAACAGCTCAAGCGTCTACAGGCAAAGCGTCGCAGAATGGGAGAACAAGATGACGCTCACGCTGCGGGAGGTGCTACCCCTGGAGGTGTGCCCAGTGGAGGGAGTGGCAGTTCTCCAGCCGCACGGGCTGCGCCTCCTGGCCAAGGAGGTGAGGGCGCTGCTGCGCCCGCGGCGGCGCCTGCTGGAGACGGCCCACCAGATCCCGCGGCTGCGCCAGGTGACGTTCGGGCTCGTGCTGACCGAGTGTTGCATGCAGCCCCCCCCCCCCCCCCCGCAGGTCCCGATGCCTGAGGGGGGGGGGGGGGGGGGGGGGGGGGGGGGAAGGGCGATTGCTGCCTCCCGAGGGAGGCGTACATGGTGTACCTGTTCTGAGTCATGAGTCTTCGGCAGATTGCGTTTTTGTCAACTTTTTGGAGTCGGCAGAGGGTCGACCTTACTCCTCCTCCCCAGCATTTGCCACGGGTTTGTTCGAGAATCTGGGTTTGAACGCAGGAGCAGTCGGTGGGGCTGTCTCCAAACTTGTTTCGGCTCGCCGTGCTGTGTGTTTGTAGGCTGACGCCTATGCCGACGGTTCTCGACCTGCCCGCCCTTCTCTTTTGAAAGCTGTTCGCCGCACGCTGGCTTGGGCCAAGTCGGCCCTCATGCGTAGCGACCCTAACCCTCCTCGTAAGTTTTTGGGGGTTCGTGGGCCTCCCATGCCTGGTGCCTCGCCCAGGCTTCAGGAGCAGTTGCTGCGGCCTCTGGAGGCCGACTCTTTCCCGCTGGACCAGCTCGCACCAGTTATCGAGACCTGTAATGTTTCTGGTTGGGGATCTGGGCAGCTTTGGTAGCAGAAGACGGCCGCCGACGTGGTGGTCATGCAGGAGCATAAGCAGTTGCAGCGCCAGCTGGCTTCTGCACCATCGTGGGCTATTCGCCATGGGTGGAAGAGCCTGTGGGTGGCGGCAGTGGCGGCTAGTGGAGGCGGAGCCTCTGCTGGAGTGGCGCTTTTCGTGCGTGAGGCGCTGGGATTGTCCGCGCCGCCGTCTGGCCATCAAATTGTTGCTGGACGAGCGCTGGTTGGCATCGTGGACATCCCTGGGCAAACGCAGCTGGCCGTCATGTCCGCTTATTTCTACGATTGCCAGGACCTATCGGATGAACCTATAGATTTGCTTTGTTCGTGTTTGTCCTTGGGGCAGGCCCTGGGTTGCCCTTTTTTCTTGGGGACGGATTTCAATATGGAGCCGTCCGCGCTGCTTTCGGGTGGCCTCGGGTGTAGGCCAGGTGAAATCCAGTTTTTGGTCCCCGACGGGCATGCTTGCAAGTCTACGGCTGGTCTTAAGCAGTTCGATTTTTTGTTAATATTGCCCCGGCGGATGTTGCTAAGGCTGTTAGCCGAGTCCAGGTGATCCGCGAGTGTAGCCTCACCCCCTATTCGCCCGTGCAGGTGAAGTTGCATCCCAGGCTGGGCCGACTCCATGCCCTGGCCTTTCGGCGTCCGCCGCCGCTCCCCACGTGCCCCTTGGCCCCTGCCATGATTTTTGAGGCGGTTCCCGCGCCTGCGAGGGTCCGCGAGGTGCTGGAGTCGGCTAGGGCTGCGGTGGGGCAGAGGGGCTGGGACAGGGCCCAAGAGGCCTTCGATCGTGCCTATGAGCTTTGGGCGGATGCTGCGGAGCGTGAGGTGTCCGCGGCCACTGGTAAGGTCTTGCCCGTGTGGGGCTCGAGAGGGAAGCCCCCTCGGATGGTTTGGAGGCCCATCTTGAACAAAAAGGTCCTTGCGTCTCAAGGGGCCTCTAGCAAGTCTAATGAGTTGTTCGCTTGCAGGTGGCTGGCCAACATGTTTTGTTACTTCGAAGGCTTCTGGTCTGCGGGCAGCCAGTCGGGCATCCTCTCGGTGCTCCAGGCCTCGGAGTCGCCGCCTCAGTTTTCGCAGTACTTAGGGCCAGCTGCCGGCTATCTGTCAGCGATGCTCGAGTTTATTCGCGAGCTGCCGATGTACGAGGCCAAGGGCGGGCCCGTCTTCGACTGTTTTACCCACCTGGTGGGCACCTTCCAGGTGGTTCTGTCGGAGGTGGAGGCGGTATCCAGGAAGAAAGCTAACCAGGAATGGAGGGAGTGGCTTCTTTTCAAAGCGCATCGGGGGGCCCGACGCGTTCACCTGGTCCTCCAAGGGGGCCTCTCCTTGGACCCTACCACCACCTTGTCCCTGGGCGGGGTTGTGGTTGCGGACCCTTTGTCCTTACTCAAAGCTGAAGCTTCCGAGTTTTCTCAGCTTTGGGGAGACGGGGGGGCGGGGAGTTGGTTCGAGATCGGAGTGGTGGCCCCGCCTCTGCCGCCCGTGCTTGTGGAAGCCATAAGGGATTTTTCTAGGAAGTTTAAGGACGACACCTCTGTCAGTGTGGATGGCTTTCACATGAAGCTCTTCTCTTTGATGAGTGACGCGTCGCTGCTTGTGGTCGCGGACCTGTTTTCTTTTATGGAGCGCGCGGCCTTGATCCCTGTCCAGATTTCCGTCACTCTTCTTTCCCTTATCCGTAAAGCGAGTGGGGGGGTTCCGTCCCATCGGGAACTTCTGTGCCCTGTGCCGTGCGCGTGGGAAGGTTAGGCGCCCGCTGGCCCAGCAGTGGGAATTCACCCACTCTCGTGAGTATTTTGCGGCGGGCCCCTTTGAGGGGGCTCAGGGCGTTGTTTGGTGGCAGGCGGTCCGTGCGGATACGTCCACCTTGTCTAAAGACGAAGCGGCTACGGTGCTGCTTGACCTTTGAAACCATTAACCTGAAAATGTTGTTGTGGCGCGTCAGGCATATGCATTTCTCGATGGCTATCGCTCGGCTGGCGATTGCCATGTACCTCCAGGCTCGATTCTTCGTCCTTAACGGGTTCGTGGATGGGCCCTATTGGGCCCAGGGGGGAATTATTGCGGGATGCACGTTCGCCACTACTTTTATTCGGGTTTATGCCATTCAGGATCTGGACAAGCTTGAGATCCCCCACCAGGTGCATTTTAAGTTGTACATTGACGATTCAGGGGTGAGCGCCACGGGTACTAAGGGATACATCGTGGCCAGCTTGCCGCATGTAGCTCGTCACTTGTATTCGGTCTTAGAGGATGGGGTGGGGGCTAAGGTCCGTCATGACGAAGGGAAGCGGTCGCTGATTTGTTCTTCTAAGGCGCTGGGACGTGAGCTGGCCGCCGAGCT